ATCCAATACATCAAGCAGGTTCGATTTCATGTTCTGTTATGGATTGGAACCACTGCCCTTCAGCCCTGACCCAAAGACTCCTCAGCAACCTTAGTGCGTTGTAATTGTGTTTTGTTGTTGTTGTGTACATTTTACACCCAAGAACCTATGTAGGAATGTGGCTGCAAGGGAGTATAGGCACCCTGACGCTTGACAGGCGCCAGAAGTGCTCCTTGCCCTCCAGGCTATGGCGCCAGCGGGTTTGGGGCTAGGGATGGTAGGGTTTGAGGTGTGGCGTGGGAGTTGAGATTTGTGGCTTACTTTGGGCCTTGAGCTTGCTACCGGCTGTGTCTAGGTTTGCAGGAACGTCCAGTAGTTTCGGACGCTGATATTTTGCAACCCTTTCATTTCTGTGCTTCGCGACAAAGAATAACTCCCATCTGCTAAAAGAACACAAAACTCCACACCAATCTTTCCTGATTGATGACCAGACGCGCACCCTTCTCCCCCAAAAGGCCTGAGTGAACTTCGAAATCCACGCTTCCTGATTGTCGCCAGCTAGAGAACTTCCTGTGATTACATGGCAAGGCCCTGCCCTTTCGGCCCTCCTTGGTGGCGGTATTGGCACGGACCTTGGGAAATCGCTTCAGGGCTTAGTTTAGAGCGCTTAGAGCTCCGTCTCCACCCCTTCAAGCATCGAAGAACCGATGGATTCGGCACGACCGCAGTTCAGGTCCTCACCGACCTCCTTCTAATATTAGGACATCGTCCCTAAAAAACGGCAAGGGCGTCAAAACTTGCAGATCTGCTTCTTTCTAACACGGAATAGTCGGCAACAGCCGTAGAAGTGGCGTAGTCAGCTCAGAACTCTTTAGCTATCAACGACAACGAGGCCGTGGCATTGTCTGCAGAAACTTCTGCTTCCTCCGATCCTGTCCTATCTCCCTTCAACCCTTCAAGTCCCAAGTTTGACTAGACCCTACTGTTGCCGTCGTCCTTGTCCTCAGGATCTGACCACCCTGACTGCATCCAACCCAGCAGCATCCGAGGTTGCAAGGGGGAGGGCTGGTGGCATGAAGACGACTCACCTGTCGTGGGTCCCTTATCGTCTTAACACTTTGAACAAAAAGAAATCGGTAAGGACACGGTTTGATGGACCAGGGAAAGTCATCAGAATAGGCATCCGCTGCCCAACAGCAGAAACAAAAGATGAGATCCCCCATAAGGGCGCAGGGACCTCAATGCGGCAGCGAAGAGTCCCAAGAGAGAGTGTTTGACTTTTCTTTGGAGCGTTTAGAGGGAACCCACAGACCCTAACCCTAAACCATCACCCGAACCCGCCAGCAACACCTCGCCCTGGCCTTTGCGGCGCTCTGCGATGCAGCCTCTCAACTGCGCTGCGCGGCCCTGCGACTCTTCAGAAACATGGGGCTCAGCTGACCTTCTGAGAGCTTTTCGAGGGTTCTTAAGCTATGGCGTTCAGGGCTTTGGAGGCTCTGCCAGCAAGTGCCAGTGGCGTGTCGCTTGAGGCTTCGAGAGGTTTCAAGCTGTGGGGCCGAATAAGTTAAGGCCATCACACTGGGTTTAGAGATCCAAGTCAAACATCTCTTGTTTCCCTGAGGCTTTTCGATGTGGCGTCCAAGGCTTTGCGGGAGGGTGGGCTGATCCAGAGCTTCTGTGAGCTTCTTGTCATATGCCACCCCACTATGTCTCAGCTCACCGGTGCTTAGATCGAAGTCCTCCGAGCCATCGTGTTTTCCTCCCAAAGCACCATATGAGCTCTCTAAGCTAGAATTGAAGCCGCAACAACCGAAACCCCGCACTTCATCCCATGGATCCAGTGCAGCAGCCTCGTGCTCGCCGGCGCGGATCGTGTGTGGGAAGCCCACCGGAACGAAAGGACCAGGGGAAAATGGGGGAGGGGGATGGAGGGTGATCGAAGGGTAGTTAATGTAAATACCCCTAGAGGTAAGGGATGGTTCGGGTTGGCCTTGTAATTGTAGGGCGAACTTGAGGTCGAGGTGTTTGGGATCAATCTGGGTTAAGAGGTCCGTTTGGGCTGCTGGATCTTGGACAGTCGGGCCTCAGCATGCTCTCGAAGAGCCGCGTAGGGCTTGGGCACGGCTCATCCTCACCTTCGGTCCACCTTGACACTAAGAGCACAAGAGAGAATCCCGCAGTTGCGCCTTTCGAAGGTTACCGCAGAGGAAACCCTCCGTAGACCCTCAACTCTCAGTAAAGCCTCTTCATTTGGAGGATGCACTGGGAAGTGCATGATGTCTTGGAAGCATCCATGGGGCTCTGACAGCATCCCCGAGGCCATGTGTCTAGGGGTTTTTTGGGTTGCGGGCTTTGGGCCCTTTTGGCATCAATCCTTGGGCTGCAGAGTGCCAACTTCTGAACTTTGGGGAGATTTCTGATTGAAAAAATGGATCCCAGCTCTTTCGTTCGGTTACTTTTGGGGCTACAGGTTGGGCCACGGGAAGGAGTGGTTAAGGCCATGAGTACATAGAGCTTGGACTGGGTTACTGGGATCATCGATGGCTGCGGGATGCGAATCGGGAGGGCCTAAACCCAACCCCAATCCATCCTAAGCCCCAAGAACTGGCGACTTGATGGATTTGTGGCTTCGAGGTTTCCAGGCACTCCACGCGATGCTGCGCACAGCCCTTCTATTTCGAGCCAAGCACTGACTATCTAGGAGCACACAGCTTTTCAGAACACAACGACCGAGGAAGCCGGTGCAACGAAAGTACGGCTTCTGGAGTGGGAGACACGCAGGGCTTCGGCCAGAGCACCGGTCCCTCGTCCGGTCAAATTTGGACAGCGGGACACTCAATGACTCCCGGGGCCTCACGGCGATGCAAAACCCCACAAACTTTCCCGAAACCTTCACTGCTGAAGCCTGGATGAGCCCAACATCCCAACACCGCAAGGAGCGCCTGGGCCTCCGATCCCCAACCGAATCGACTGGACTGAGTCGCCGACTTTCGGGTGGCGAGTTCCTGGCTGAAGATGCAAACATAGGATGCTACTCGAAGCCTCTGGCAAATGCCCTGTGTTCTGAGTTTGTCCAGAGAAGGAGTTTCAGCCCTCTACTGTCTACTCCATACGAAAACCCAAGCTGCTTCTGCTGCCACGCCGGGAAGTCTCCACCACCGTAGGTCTCTTGCAGCGTTCGAGGAGCATCCGGCATGTCTCTGCTTTACAAGTTTTGGTTGCTGCATGAAGAAAGCCCTCCCCAAGTGCCCAAACCCGAAGCAGGAGAGCAAGAGATTGGACCTCCCTGGCTTTTAATGGAAGACGAAGAGACCGGAGCCAGACGCAAGTCGGGCATGCGGAGAGCGGCCTCAAAAAAAGTTCCGTCCCTCCGCCAGTTTGGGGGGAAGCAACGAGTGGCACTCATCTGAGGGTTTAGGAAGTTTAGGATGTCCAGGATTTGTGTTTCCTTTCCTCAAGTCGTGCTCCAAGGAATCGGAGTCTGTGCTGGTTGCATTGGATGCTGTACGGCATCCGTCCAATGTTCGCTTCCTGACTTCCGAAGCCCTGAACCCCCGAACCCCCTCACTTCAACCCCTTGACCTCAACCCCCCAACTCCACATCTTCCCAATCGCCAAGCCCCTTCAACCCTGGCCCCTAAGCCTTCAACCCAACCCTGCACCGCTGCACTTGGCTCAAGCCTGTACAATGGCCATGCCATAGGATTGCGGCGGGCAGCGTTCTCAGCTCCCCAGTCCACAGGAAAATGGCAGTCCCAGAACTCGTAGAGTACGACCTGCCCCTAGGCCCTACATGCTGAACTTGAAGCTCGAAAAGATTAATGCGCTAATCCCGTTACGTAGTCAAAAATTAGCTGATGTGAGTGTCGGAACCTGTCCGGGTCTTGAAAATGAAAGGACCCCTGACCATCCCAAACCATAAAGCCCGAAGATCTTAAAGCATCGACCTGCGAAGCCCCTCCTCCAACAACAAGAATGTGTCTCAAGGTGCAGGGATGTCGCAGGACCTCCTTGTCGGCTGCGTGGCAGAACCAGCAAACCTTCGTGATCTTGGGGCTGTAGGGATCAGGGTGGATCCAGGGTTTCGGGTTAAGTAGGTTTGGGGAAGAATTCCCGGGATGTCTTCTGGTTAAGTCCACCGCGGTACACGCCATGATTTTTCGAGAAAGCGATTCATGCTTTAGCTCCGCTTCTCAGTGTCGGCCCTTGGCTTTTCAATGAACAACGAGGCTGTCGCCCCACAGCCCGCTACGCCCCAAAGCAGACAAGGGACTTAGGTATGGGTGCAGAGTGGAGGGTCTGTGTTTTCTGGGGAGGCGGGGGGAGAGGACCGGGGCGAGAACAAGACGAGGAGCAACAGCAACAACAGCAGCAACAAGAAGAATAACAAGAAAGACAAGAACAAGAACAAGAACAAGAAGAAGAAGAAGAAGAAGAAGCAGACCAATGACAACATCACATGTAAATACAAAAGCTCGAACGCACAATACTCAGTTTTGTACATATTTGTTGTACAACATCTGGTTTCGGACATGTTTAGTTGACAGGAGAAATCACAAAACAATAAAGAAGCCACCAAACAAACCACTGAAATGCAAATACCAACTGTGCTCCATGGCGCGAGCGTGCACGCGCACGTGCACACACGCGCCGGTACCGGCACCGGACCTGCTTTCCGCGCATGCATAAAGGCCCCAGAACCTGCTATGAAGAAAATGCTGAAAGCCACACTGCAGAAAACGTATTTCCATGCGTTTTGGGATGCTCCGCCGCTTGGTCCCAGTCATGCCTCAAAGATGTGCTTCATCGTGGCTCGATGATGCTGGCTGCCGACCTAAAAGGGGCTGAGCATTCTAGCATTTTTGGGGGAGGCATCAGGGACCATGGGCTGCAAACCACTTGAAATACGACTCTCCAAGGGGAGGGGGGGGGGTGGGCGGGGGGCTTCTTGTGCGCTCGACCACGGCCATGGATGGGGCCGATATGCAGTAGACTCAGTGTTCGCCATCTTCCCTCCTGGCATGCTGCACACTATAGGCATCTTCTCAAGCGACGTGCCAGAGAGCTTGCGCAAGCCGGCACTGAGCAATGCTGGCGGCCCAGCGCAGCGTCACCTAGTTGATTTGCCTGGCTGCTGAATCCAAGTTTGACAAAGCCAGTCCGTGATTTTTGTGATTCCGCTAGAGGTGCAGCCGTCCTTCATAGACTACGGCGATGGCTGCGTGCTGGCGAAGGGTTTCGACAACGATCGAGCAATCCAGGCTCGGCGTTTTGCAGGATGCGTCAAAGGTTCAATCGAGGGGCCTAGCAAGCGAAACACGCACACACTTAGCTGGGTCCTTGTTGACATTGGCTTGGGCTTCTAGTGCCCAGTATTTTGGGGCCGCACCGTAGGCTCTAAAATTGCCCAGGCCTACGAGGCAACACTGCAGGACATGATGGCCAACGGTGGCTTCGCGCACGACACTCAGCCGGGGTACGCGGGTGAGGCGAGCAAGGGTCGAATTTTCAATCGTTTCCCCCGTTCTTCCACAGGAACCCGGCCGTGGCACAAATCTGCACTGGCCTGGCGACCCTCTATGACACGAAGGCCCACCCTAGAAATGTGTGGTTGGGGATGGAGTGGAGTGTAGAGGCGATGGCTGGGCATGTTGCATCATTTCGGCCGCAACGTGCTGCGCGCTCACATGGGTCTCAGTATTCCCAAATGCGGAGCGATTGAAAAGTTGGGACCTCATCGTGACATCCACACACAGGGTGCAGGTTGAGGTTTGTTGCACCTTCCGAAAACATCTTAACATCCCTATACTTCCGAAGACCCATCTTCCGAAAAGGCCCTGAAGGTGGAAGACCTACAACTGAGAGAGTGGATCCCTTCATCCCAAAGCTCACAATCCCTTGCGCAATCGATCCGACCCGAGGTTGAGCTTCATTTGCTCAATTCTTTGGCGTCAGTGCACTGCCCTGAGGGGTCCCGAAGGCCCTCATGCCCAAAGCCGAAATCATGGACAGCCCGCAACCCCGCGAGGCTGCCATGACAAAGGACGCTCAGTATTACGACCGCTGTGTCGAGTACATGTCCATGGTGCAGCAGGGCATGCAGGCAGCGGGGGTTGGGGTTCAAAACGAACCTAGAGAATGATTCAAGATGCCTCTAGGAGGCGAGGCCCACCTACTGAATATGCTGAGACATGGACATGCTCCTGGCAGAAGTGCAGCCTTTTGGTGCAGCTGAGAGGGCTGAGGATTTCAGTCTGGGTTTGGGGCTCCTTTGAGGGTTGCCGAGTTGTGTTTGCCTACAAACTGGCTGCCAGGCAGGCATGGGCGAAGCAGCACAGTACGATACTTGGCAGCACACATTCCGCACTACAACTCAACAACCTATGCGAATTGATGCAGCTCGCACTGTGTTGGAATCTAAATTTAATGGGCTTCGAGATTTACAGCTGGGGTGTCGCACCCCAAGCTTTACCCTGAAGCCTGCCCGAAGACTGAGGACAAAGCCCATCCACGGATGGCTTCAGGGCTTTTTGTGTGCAATTAGTTTCGCCTGGCAGTCCTCCCTGTTCCGAAAAGGCATGTCGATAAAAGCAAAAAGCGTCGGTTCTTGCATGGTGCAAAAAGCCACGAACATACAGAAAGTGCCAATGGTTTTGCCCACAAAGCATGCACCAAACTGGGTACCCCTACATCCTGAGCCCGCCCTCAGAGTGAAGCCCTACGCCATCACATCTTTCGGAGTGTGGAGCCGGATGCACCAAGGACCCAATGTACAGGGTCATCGAGGCAGGGTGAGGGCTGAAGGAGGTCTGATGAGATTATGTTGTGATAGCCTGCGGCTTGGAGCATTTTCGAGACAGCCAGAGTTCCGAACTGCAAGTATCCTTACATTCATGCCTCCTGGCCTGCGCGATGCAGCGCAGGAGAACTTCAGTTGTGGAAGGGCAAATCAGCAAACAAAGCAACGGCTTCGGGCCACACAGTAGCACCTGACTTGCGCGCGTCCCCCGAAGCTGTTATTCAAAAGACCGGCTGAGTTCATCTTTCAGAAAGATGATAGGGCTCTGCATGTAGCGGGTCAGTTCAAACCCCCCGCACAAACTCGCGAACTTGAACGCCCTCACAAACAGGAATCCCTGCCCGGGCCCAGAGCCATAGCCCCAGGCACGAAGACAAAAGGTCTTGCGAAAGAAAGAGAAACGCCTGGCGCCACTTGGCTTGCAGCTTTGCCCATAGTGGCTTTAAGTGAGCCCGCTCAAGCAAAAGGCTTCCTTTGTCCCAATCAAAGCTTACGATATAAGAGTCCCAGGAAGGGCGCTCCAGATGCAGAGCTGCAGGTGGGCTTCCGCAGGGATTGGGTTGAGTGTCAAGCGGCTTTTCAGTTTAGGGATGAAGTGCTGGCTTCTTTGAGGGTGCAGCAGGGTGCGCGTTGATAGTCGAATAGCAGCACTGTCGAAGCTCGTTGATTAGAAGCTGTTGCTAGCATTTGTGCGGCCGATGTCCATGTCCATGGAAGCTCTCGTGCCGGTGACAGAATAGGCCCGCAATCGAGGAACTATAAGGTAGCTGGTTTATGTTTCACGTTGCTGCATCTTTGTTTGAACGCTCGATATCACGAAGTTTCATATGTCTGTGCGTCAGCAAGGTCACCAAGATTTTCATAAGATAATCGAAGACAGGCTTTGCTGAACCAGCGCCCTGAGCCAAGACGGCCTGCACGGAAGTGAATGGAAGTGAAGAGCGCCTTCACTGGCAGAGAAAAAGGGGGATACTTGTGCTCTGCGTTACCCGCGTTAGTGTACTGACGAATAAGTCTACGTTCAGACCACGGAAAGGAAGTGGGAAACCCTCAAAACGCAAAACCCACCATGAACCACAGGGGAGGAGGGGGCACCATGGGTGGGGGAGGCGGGGCCTTCCCCTCCCTACCAATATTTCAACTCCGGTTGGGGTTAAGGTTTAGGGATTCAGGCTTGAGGTTTAGGGTTTGAGGTTTAGCCCACAAAATCCGAAACCTTCTTCCCTAAACCCCAACCACACCTTGGGAGGAGCGGGGCCGGGGACTGAAAAAACCCTAAACTAACCCTTAAGCCTGGTTTCCCCGCTCCCCCCCCCATACCCCCGTAAACCCTGCCTAAACCCTTGACACCCTAAAACCCGAAAACCCTAAAACCCTACAACCCTAACCCTAAGCCCTCTAAAACCAGACCCTATATAAGCAGCGGAGGAACTTGTTGTTTAAGGTGTGTCGCCACACCTCTTTTGTAAGGGTGTGGCGGGTAAGGTAAGTTAGAACTCGGTACGTTGTGTCGCATCTTAGTGTGTCTTTTTCCCGCCGTTTTTGCTTGCTGCTGCAACTCGAAAACACAGCAACCCCATGAAATTTCGGATTGTTTGGTTTGTGACTTTTTCAGTTTAATGAGCCGCCAATTGAATGATGGTCCAGGAGGTTTTAACATGAGCACTAGCATGCCCCGCTTGGGCGAGAAACACGCAGAAATCAGACGAAGAAGAAGAAGAAGTAGCAGTAGCGGGTTAGCAGCTTCTGTTTACGCAGGAGGCTCGCAGACGGGCCCGGTGCTGAGAGAGTATGGTAATCTATATTTCACAGATGTGTGGGCGGCTGGATTTCTGATACCTGGTCCATGTAGATTGCCTTGGCAGGGAATTTCATGCATCTGGAGCTGAAGGGACCGTTTCGGTTTGCATTGCATGCGGGCTGTGGCGAGCAGGCGATGAGCATGTGTGCATGTGAGGCGATGAACGCAATGCAGAGCGGAATCGCGCCTGATCTTCAGGCTTGTGGTTGGGAAAAGCTCGTCTCGTGATGCTATTGGATGTTGGTTGTTGCACGCCTGGGATGTAGCTGAGTCAAGTGCAGGCTGCGGAGACATCAGTTGGAGAGGCTGCATCTGCCAACGATGTGCCGGGAGCTGAAGCGTGGTCGTCTTGACTGCGCATCAGTTCCAAGTGTGTGTGCACATGGTCAGGAACGCAATCGAGAGCGGAACGCCGCCTGATCTTCAGGCTTGTTGTTGGGAAAGCTCGTCTAGTGATGCTATTGGATGTTAGTTGTTGCGTGCCTGGATGTCAGATTTGAGGAGCTGGGTAGGAATGCAGGTTGGGATGTAGCTGAGTCAGGTGCAGGCTGCGGAGACATCAGTTGGAGACGAGGCTGCAGCTGCCAACGATGTGCCGGGAGCTGAAGCGTCGTCGTCTTGACTGCGCATCAGTTCCCAGTGTGTAGGTTACCTCCAAAAAACAGCGCCGTGGGATTTGTTGGTGCTGCGTGTGGCGCTCCTTTGCTCTTGCTTGAAGAAAACCTCCGCCGGTTTGGGACACCATCCCTCCAACCACCCACGTGGGGGGTTCGCTCGCACCAGATGGGGGTTTTAAGCGGGGGGGTTTTGGGGGCGGGGGGGGAAGTCCCCCAAACGCTCGCATGATGAGTTTGGCAAGGATTTCTCTCTCTGTCTGTGTCTCTCCGCGCCTCACTCCGTCTCTTTCCTGGACTTGACGTGACTGCTTCAAAGCCGCGCTTCTCGGGAAGCATCGTGAGTCTGGCAATCCAGAACAAACAGCTTTCAAAGTGTACGCAATCGAATTCCAACAGATAGGCAGGATGATGAAGCCAGGGCCAGAGCCGCCCGCAGTGCCTACTCCGGCACCTGCTCCTCCGGCGTCATTGCCGAAGCCTCAGACTTGACCTGCCAGCTAATTGATCACCTGAGCGCTCTTTGGTTGAGGTGTGGCTTGAGGTGGGACTTCATTTGCAGCTTCATCCGCATTGTCTAGCAGTCTAGCAGCCCTGGCCCCAGACCTGGCCCCAGACACAAGCACATCTCGCCGACGTAAGGCTGCCAACAAGCTTCACACCGTTGACCGTATTCCAGGGCCGGCGGAAGGGCCGTCACGTGCGCTGGCAGAATGTGGGGCCGCTACAGTGCCTTACAGCTTGATTTCGACTTGGGTTTGAGCACACATACGTGTGGGATGCGTTGGGGTATTGAATATTGAGTGAGCTTCTGCCTGACGTCATGATTCCAGGTGGACGTGCCACCGGAGCTCCACGGCCCTCCGCCGGGGCTGGCTGCGCGATCCACGCCGGACCTTGGGTGTGGTGTCTTTCGTATAGTTTGTTCTCACGAGCCCTGCCGTACCGAAACTTGTTTTTTTTCAACAGTAACCCAGCTAGCAGGGTCCTGATGCGAAACGTCAACACTGAGCACTTTTAGTCACGACGTGAAGGGCCACATTATTCTTCTCCTACGAAATCATCAGCCAGCGCTGGCACAGAACCAAAACACGTTGCCACTGGCCCGCAAGAGCATGAAGGGGGGGCGGGGGGGGGGCGTTTGGTTTGAGGGGAAATCTCAAGGGATTTCACCGGGCTGCGAATACTCCCACCACCTCACCTGGTACTAGTTTCGGAAAACAGTCACTTAAGAGCGCTGAAGTCGTCAGCTGCAGCTGTGTGCAACAGAATTAGATTGACACTACACGTAGTCAGGTTGTACAAAATGAACGAGCAACAACTTTCCAATTTGAAAGCCTACTGCGAGGCAGCGAAGCAGTGAGCTTGGCCATCTGCAACAGTAAGCTAACTTGCAGCTTCGCTTTAACGGATGTGGGCGCGCGGGCGTCTGAGACAGGGCTCTGATCTTGACAGCTGTAGTTCAACGTAGCATCAGTGAGTGACTGCTTTTGGGAATTGGTTCCAAACGAGGGTCCCTTTTCCGGACAGTGGGGCTTGGCCTGAAGTATGGACCCTTAGACATCAAAAGGGCCCATGATTTAGGTCAACTGCCAAGAGGATCCTGAGGGGACAGCCGTCTGAAAGCACCATGAGTGTGCAGCAACGTCGCAAAGGCATTCGATTGAACCAATACAGTGAAATATGGAGATGAAATTTGGTTAGAAAAGCAATATTTTGATGAAAAAGGATTTGTATTTGAAAATTGTGCACAAAATGAAATGTTTAATTTTGAAATTATTTTGTCAAAGATGATTTTTTGAGACTTGCTCAAGCTGTGAACTCAGCTCCTTAACCAGTGCAGCTAAATCCTCTCCAAAACACCAAGCCCCTAAATGCCCAAACCCCCGGATACCCTAAACTCCTAAGGCCGTGCAAGCTAGCACCATGCCGGATTAGGGTTAAGTAAGGCTTCAAATGAGGTTGAGTGAAGGCTCAAATTTTGAACTTTGTTATCCGTGGAATGTAGTGATATGCGCCAGGGTCAGGCAAGCCACAGAGCCGCTCAGAACTGGCGAAGGTAGGGGATACCACGTCCGGAATGCCCATCAAATACCCAACTTTTTTCAATCAAAGAACCAATCAATAAAAGACCATGACTCTTACTCTTACTCTTGCTCTTCCTCTTACTCTTCCTCTTCCTCTTACTCTTACTCTTACTCTTGCCCTTACTCTTACTCTTACCCTTCAAACGCCTTTGCTGGCAGAGAAAAGAGGGATACTTGTGCTCTTGGTTAGCGGTTTTTGGGCAGGTTTGTGAACCTTTTGCCTCGCAACCCTCCTGTCAGCTGCTATGCTTATCAAGCCATGGGAGACAAGGCTGCCGTTCATTTCCAGCACAGCACAGAGCACCCTTCTGCAGTCCAATCCTGGAATGTTCACCGTGACTTACCCTCATAGCCGCTCATAGCCCCTCAGAAGACTTGCAAAAATTTGGGCGCGAGCGTTCTTGTCATGGCGCCGAAAAGTGCAGCGCCCAAGGCTGCAGCGCCCAAGGCCGCAGCGTCCAAAGCGGCGCCCAAAGTAGCAGCGACGAAAGCCGCTGCTGCCAAAGCAGCGCCCAAAGCCGTGGCCAAAGCTGCTGGGGTCGAAAACTGAGACAGTTTTCATGATACTCGTTCACGGGCAGACCCAAGTCTCCAAAACACTACAATCGTTTCAGGAAGCAGCTACAATGTTTTGTATTTACATCTTCTGTTACCAGTAGTTGCACAGCGCACAGCCGAGGCTGGTCGTGACGAATTGGGCGTGGAGGTTGTGAAGGAGCCGGGTGGCAAAGACGAGCCGCGCTTGTACTGCAGTTGGCCAGCGATCTGCTTTCTGATGGCTTGATGATGGGTTGAACATGCTCTTCATGGTGCTTGAACGGACTAGCTTCTGGTAATTAACTTCGACGTGAATTCGAGAAGTCTACATGACGAGCTCATGGTCAACTCCTTTACTCAACCGAACACGACCTCGCATTTACACGACGAGGCTTAGTGAGAGACCCCCAGTGCAGTGCAGGAAGTGGAGCTGCCCGGCGGCGCGAAGCTTCGTGTCGCTTGAACGGGCTTTGATCTGATCGGGAGCAGCTTGCAGATTAGAGTCCAAATCCAGGCACGTTCATCTCAACCACATTATGAATACGAACATACCTAGATCGAAGCTCAGCAAGACTAGGAAGTTTCAGCTCTTTTTGGTTCAGGGTGGGGAGTTTCAGCTTGAGAATTGGGCGCTCGGCAAAAGCTTACCGTAGGATCTATCCCTTCTGTTGATCAGGATGCCAAACGAGGGTTTCAGCTCTTCGTGGCCATAAACAGGTCCTATAGGTTGGGTTGCATTGTACATAAACCACAGGCTCGAGCCCCGGAACAGTGGGAAAAAGATGCCAAGTCCTCCGAAGACAAGGACCTAGTCATCACAAACATTCACAAGTTAAGCTGGAGCTCACGCAGAAACAAGCTTTCACTGGGAATCGTCGCACGAGTTCAGTACAATGCCGCAGCCGTGCAGAGACGGATCCAAGATGTTTGGCACACGTCAATCTCACGCATAGACGCGCCGTCGACAAGCCAGCAGCACCAGTCCCTCTGCCTAAGCCACGGAAGCGAGTCGCCTAGGCCACGAAGGCACAGACGTCAGAACCACCAACCTGAACAGGACGACATGTTGGAGCCTCGCCATCGTGTATGCGCTTCATATCCAGGCCCACAGAGCAGAAATGCCAAAGCAGCATGGAAAGCTTCCTTTCCAGGGAGGTGGAAGAGCAACAAGAGAAACGCGTCTCAAAGGTCATCCAGACGATGAACACAGCCCGCCGGAAAGCATCAAACCATCATGCGCCGCGCCTTTGCGGAGACCTTTCAAAAAACTCCCCTTAACCTAAACCCTAAACCCCCTTCTTTGAAGTCCCTGGGCCAAGGTCAGCGTCGGATGCATCGATCGCTTTGAGGGAGACGCCTTGGTCAACGCAGCGCGCCTCGGAGTGGGAGTGGGGGTTTGGGGTTTAGGGTTTAGGGTTTGGGGTTTAGGGTTTCGGGTTTAGGGTTGAGGGTTTAGGGTTGAGGGTTTAGGGTTCGCATCAACACGCAGGGCTTGGGGAAGGTAAGGGGCCTGAGAGTCGTTGGGTGGGTTGGGGGTGTTGGCTTTGGAGATGTTTTGGGATCTTACATTCACACCAACAAGCCCCAAACCCAATCCGTAAATCACAACCGGACCTGCAAGCCAACCCCCGAGGCTACACCTTGGGCCATGACCAGTAAAGTTTATAAAGATTTTCTGATTCCTATTCCTGAACCCTCCTAAAAAATCGTTGCTGCAGGAACCAGGGATGTCTTGGGGGTGGCGGCGTTGATGGTGCAATCACCCGTGCGGGAGGGTCCAGGCTCCACGAAGCCCGCAATTCGGCAGCATATTCGTTGGGCTTACGGGCTTAGGGTTGAGGCTTACAGAGTTGAACTGAGAACAGCCTTAACCCCTGGGGCATTCCGCATTGAATCCTAAGCGAGGAAGCTGAAGCCCCGAAGCCCCCGATTCGGATTCTCTTTGGCACTTGGCAGTCGTGGTGCAGCACGAGGCCAGTTGCCAGCACCAGACTGTAGACTCATCCTACCTCACGTTTTGCAAAGTGCGACAACCATTTAGGACAGGACCCTTCTCAGGAAAAGCCTTGCCAGCCACCGCTGGCAAGCGCTGTGCCACTGGTAGCGCCGTGGTCACTGTGGGTGGCGACCTGAAGGCGGCAACGGGTTTTGAGATTCGGGTCTCGGGCAGGGGGGCCATTTCTGCACTCTAAAAGCACCTGGACTGAGGCTTGTTGTGTTGGTCTCTTAATGTGCGTTGCACTGCACCACGGCTCCCAAGCCTTCAAGCCAAGATTGAGCGTCACACCGTTCTGCGCTGCTAAAAGGCCAAGTGGTGTATCCATGCAGTCGCGCCGCGCTATCCTGGCAAGGACCTACTCGCAGGGCTGCACGACCTGAAACCCTAGTTGGGGTTTTCGTTTAAGATCAGAGTCTGGGAAGCATCCCCTTTCAGGACACAAAGGAGTCCAAAGATGAATCGACGCTGGCAGAGCCTCGGAGGGCACATCGGCTGAGCGTGATCTACAGCCTGTTCCGGAGCCTTCCCCCCCTTGAGCCCCCCAGGAGAGAGCCCTTCTGAAACAACGAAAACTCCCAAAGGCCCTTAGGCTTGAACCACAAACCCTTTGAGAAGCCTCGCCCTATACCCATCTAAAACCCTGCAAGCGTTGAAAGCCCACTCAAGGAGTGCGACGCCCTGCTGCGGTCCGCAGCCACGGCTGCCATGCGCCTGGCGAAGGCCAAGAAAGCCAAGCGCAACTTCGCGGACATTCGCAGAACTTTGAACATCTTTAGTTTAAACCATTTTGAACCAGGAAAGACAGGCAGGGCTTAAGCCCAAGTTTCAACCCTGCGGTTGCTAAGGTTTTGATGAGAACGGGCGTGAGTGCGGGTGCCACAAGCTTCGGTAAGGAAGACACGACACGAGGGAACGAAGACGAAGACACCACTCGAAGACGTTACAGAAGCATATGACACAAAGATACGACACACGAAGACATGACACGAAGACACAATGCGATCGGGTAACGTGCACGAACATACTGCGAAGAGACACCGGAACGCAACGACAGCCCTCGCGCGACGCTCCCGGACACGCGGGCTTCCGCAACTACGGCCGCCGTGCACGAACGCATCACGAAACGATGCCAAAACGCAAGTTTCCGCAACTACGATCGCCACTGGACAGTCAAACGACGATGCCCCAACGCAGGATTCCACAACTACAGCCGCGGCGGGACACTCGCGAACGCTTCTGGACCCTTCCTTGCGAAGCTTGCACAGCGGTTTTTGGGTCAGCTCTTCGACCCCTGGAAGCCCAACACTTTAAGTGGGAACTCTTTTGCTACGCATCTGGGAAGAACCCACACGAAGAATCACCAAGAAGCCAGGGTGTCGGGATTTGTTTGGCCTTGGGGCTGTGGCTACTGCGGGATATGCTGGCTTTGCTGGTATCAGTGTGGTGGTAGGTGCTTGGAGGTAGGGTCCGGTGCGTCTTGCATAAAGCGCCCATCTGGAAAATCTTACTTCGGTGTACTGAAAAACTTGAATTCAGACCAGACAACCGGCACCCCCATTCTCAGCAGCCCGAGGATCCTCATTTTTCTTTATGCCGTTTGAAGCTTCCAAGAACCCATGAGATGGTGCAGGGGGCAGTTTCGGACTGAATCGCTCAGGTGTGGCTTTTCCCATCTTGGCCGGTGGCATCTTTCGAGGCTTGGTGCCGAGTCTGGGGTCGGGTCCTAAGGTCAGTTGAGGATTTCGTTGAGGGCCGCAAGCTCGCGCTACATACGCAGACTGCATCTGCCGAGCACAAGGCCTCTCGATACGAGCAGCTGCTTCCAACACGAGTGGCATTCCTGCGTAGATAATGCGTCCGCGCTGCGCATTCTCGACCCCCTCCTTGCAGGAGAACCCTGCAAACCAGGGGCAGAGTGAAAACCCTAAATAGCCTAACCCTAAACCCTGAACCTCAACCTTAAACCCGTCATGAACCACAGGGGGGAGGAGTGGGGAAGCTGCGCATCCTTACTTTCAGAAAGCTAGATGTACACATTCCAGGCTGGTGCTGTGAGGATCTTGGATGTGAGAAGTTGTCAGTCGCTCTACATCCTATCTGTCCAAGCCTCCAACTCTATGAAACCCACAGATACTGTAATCTTACAGCCCCTGAGCATCCCCAATGCCTGAGCAGTAAGCACTACATCTTCAAGAAGGGCGTCATGATCACATGGTGTAATGCCGCCAAACTGAAGAAGATACTGATTTTGGCCTGCACCTCCCAAAAGTTTGCTACATAAACGGTTTAGGACTTAGAGCTTCTAATGCCTACTGTCACCTACAATCCATCCCACGCGGCGTTTTTTCAAGGCTGCCGGCCTCTGGATGTTGTCATTGCGCAGTGCCTCCAGGGCATCCAGGAGGGTGTCTACGAAGGCAAGAACCTGTCAGCATCTGGGTGTTTCTGCAGAGGGTTCTGCGGCAGAACTGGGGCCCCAAGAAGCAGCCATGGATTCCTTGTTGCCCCTTCAGACACCAAAGAAAAGGAAGAAGACGACAACGGAAGGTTCTTGAACCTGGCTGCGAACGCGGTAGCCGGTCAACCAGCAGCAGCAAAACACCAGTCTCGACAAACTGAGGCTTGGCCATGTTTAGCGATCTGAAGGAAGCCTCTAGGCTGTTAACCAGGCCGCCTGCCTGGCACACATGAGTATGATTGAGTCAAGCGCTACAAGCGTTCCCCCCACAAAGTGCTTGCACTATGGGGCTCCTCCGCGGCGCGCGGGCGCACTCGCGAGGGCCTCGGGATCGAAGACCTCGTCGGTGGTTCTGGTGAGCCGGGACGCTCTCTAGCCTAGGCACCGTGCACTCCGGAGGACACAAACGTCAGACGGCATCCAAACTATCGCAAATGGCATGGGTTTTAGTGCCAGATCGCGCTCTTCCCCCAGGCGTGCGCCCTTCAGTACACGAAATTATGTTCTCGCCTGGGTCCCATGCACTTTCTCATTCTTATATTGCGTCGTTTCGTGAGAATGTCATTGAGAAGCATACTGTCGTTCATGCTGGCTTTTTGGATGGGTCGATCCACGTCTAGGCTTGGAGTCAGTCTACATCGTGGCCTTTCCAGGCAATGGGGAATGGGAGGGTGGGGAGATGAGGGCGCAGAGCTTGCAGCTTTGAAGATCGAAGTGGTGCTTTACCGAGTGAGGGGTTGAGATGCCAAGCTTTCGGGATCCATGCTTCAGTTTGCATAAGTGGTTCCGGGTCACTCCTCACCATGTGCCCCTACAGGGTGGTGATAGCGAAAACGTAATCAAAGTTTGGACCTTGGCGGCGAAGGTGATGCGCGGAGCATTGCACGAAGCCTTACTGCTCCTGTGATCTCAGCTAGCAGTGAAGCTACACCCCCCGCATTCTGTCAGAAACAAAGCCTTGAACCCAAGTTGGAGGTGATCCAGAGTCCCTCCCCATCCTGCTGGATGTCGCTGCCAAGTTGGAGGGACCTGCGGAGGCCGGGTCGTGGGCGCTGGGGTTGTTGGGGGTCCTCCGAGATTGCTGGTCCCTGCGCGCAGGCCCCGACTCCAGTGCGCGGTGAGGCCACAGAGGCCATAGAGGCCACAGAGGCAACGGAGGCCACAGGGGGAAATTGGTGGAGGGTTTTGGGATTTTGGGGGGGGTTGTGTTGCCTTCTGAAACTCTTCCTGCTTGGTAGCTAAACCTCCAACACCTAGACCCCCTTGTTTCGGGGCGAAAGTTTGGAAAGACGGGTCGTGAGCCCTGCAAACCTATAAACCCTAAACCCCAGGCGAAGGTCGCTGTCCCGGTCGCGGTTCCAGAGCTGGCGCGCACGAAGTCCGAGCAGGTGGCAAGAAGCCAGAAGCTCCAAACGGCAAGTGCAGGATTTTTTGGGGGGTCCCCGAAATGAGGCCCCAACATCTCCAACTTACCGACTGGATTCATACTGCTGCAGCTGCAATGGACTCCCCATGATAAAACTGCCTCTCAAGAACTTGAGAGTATCAGATGTTGCAGCTCAGAGAACTGAAGCTTTTGAAATATTGCGTGCAGGATCTGAGATTTGAAGGGTTTCAGGCGGTTTCAGAGGTTTGGGAGACTTAGGCTTGGGATTTAGAGCTTAGGTTTCACGCAGTGCCCCAAGAAACGTAGCTGTTGCACTTTGTTGCACTTATCGTGAAAAACATTGGCCTTCTAGCCCCTGAACCCCAAGCCGTGAATCCGAGAACAGCTACCTAGCTCACCTAAAACTGCCCAAACGCCGAGTTTTTGCAGGTGGTGCGCGTGTTCCGCGAGTGGGACCAAGACTGTGACGGGCGCCTCAAGCTGGAGGACATGTGCACAATCTTCGTCAATTTGGGTGGCACGGATGCGATAGTGGGATTCGTGCTTGAACTGCGAAATGCATCAGCGTAGTCATGCTCATGCTACATCCACAGCCCCGAAGAAGGTCAGGTGTTCGGAGCTTCTGTTGACTGCCACTTTTCCCGATGACTTTGCTCCAAGGGTGGTGGGTTTTTGCATTCCACGCCATGACATTGACCCAGTCCAAGTCCATGTAGCCGATGTAGCCGTTCTAGGTCTTTAGGATTCAGGCTTGAAGACTGAGGTTTCACCCCTGAAGATGCGGCAAAGCTCTTCGCACAAGCCGATGTGAACGCAGATGGACTGCTTGACTATGCTGAGTTCGCGCAGTGGCTGTATGATGTCTCACCCGCAGAATTTCGAGAGCAGATTCTGCGAGACTCCAGATAAAGTGTAGAGTTCAGGGCAGATCGTGTTCGCTCGAGCTGATGCTTATTCCCCACCCTCGGTGATCTATAGGATCCCATTTCCCCATTGCGTCCGGCCCCTTTGGGCTCACAGACGAGACGTGCCAAGCTACCTTTCAGTGCCCTGGCCTTCTCCCATTCGAGGCTCGGCTCATTGGATCATTAGCGCTGACTTTGGGATTCATCCTCCGACCCCTCTTGTACAAGCTCTGAACCCCAGTCCGCAAACAAAGAAATCCCGCCCCCTGAAGCAGCACGAAACGAAGGTCGTGGCCAAGATGTTCATGTCACTGGCCCTCCAGGCGGGAGAAGTCGGAAGCTTGTTCCCTATAGATTTCCATGAAGCTTGCATGCCCGACGTTTCTGATTCAAGCAGCGAGGTGGAGCTGCCCTCGTTTCAGGCCCGTCTTTCGGATGTTTTTGTGAAGATGTTATTACTAGTAGTGTTTTATGCCAGCGTCTCTCACGGCATGCTGTCGGGATTGCGTCGCTTCGTATCTCACCTGCCACTCTGCATTTGACGAGGCCCTCTTTGACTTTTTCTGTCGAGCCGAGGTTGCAGCCTCAGGCATTCCATACCAGCAGAGCCTAGAGTGTCCCCAGAATCGCATGAAGTTGCCAAGACAGAGCTTCGTTACTGCGAAGGGCCCGGAGCTGCTGAGCACCACCGTGCAAGAGGCCGTGGGCGCGCAGGATCTCAGCTAGCTAAGTTGAAAGCATCTCATAGACTCTACGTCATAGTCCGCTGATGGTTGATACACTTCTGTCGCGGAGAGGGCTGCGTGCTGACGATACTCGACTCTTGCCGTGCATTCCCTCAACTTGTAAGGAACCCCGACTTTGGAAGTTTTTCCGCTTTCTGCACTATGCACCCCGATTGTAGCGCTCCCTGATGTACTCAATGCCGAACGCGCAGGGAATCCCATTTGGACCTCGCCAAAAGGCCACTGCAACTGTTCTTTGAGGGCTCTTCAAATAGCGCCTGCGTTCAGGATGCGAGGTCACGAGGTGCAGGGCAAGGTGTGAGACGTAGATTCAGGAGTAGATGCAGCCTATGACCAGGATTTTCCGTGAAGCTTCCGTGTTGCTGCAGGCGGTGCGGAAGAGGGCCGAGGCGCGAGGGACCTCCGAAAGGGTTCCGTACGTGGACTGCGCCTATCAGAGTCGTTCAGAGTCATCGTTCCCAACATTGCTAGTGCCCTCGCTCTACGCGACACGCGACAACAACTTTTTTTCACCCTGTTGGCGGGCAGGTGGACTTCCTGTTTGGCCTGCCGCCCCCGCTGTATGGGCGGGGCAGACCGTGGTGGCCTCAGCAGGTTTCGGTGTTAGAGTCTGGATGCAGACGTAGACATCCCCGTCAGTGCTGCGGGCCCTCACTTTGAGCCCAAGACGCCGGCAGCAAATCGATTTGGTACCGGATGTACCGGTAGTACCGGGGTCTCACTCGGAGCCAAAAACACTTTGCTTTGAACCCAATACGTCGGCAACAAATCGTACTTCCTAGCATCGGGCATCACGTTGAACCCAAGATGCCGGCAATACATGGTATGTCTTAGCAGCGGGGCTTTAAATTGAACCCGAGCCCAAGATGCCGGCAACAAATCGTACTTCTGAGCACTCGACCTACTTGGGGCGCCACTTTGTGTTGTCGGTGTCTTGCGCTCAAAGTGGCCCCTTGGTGCTAAGTAAGAAATGCGATTTCCTGCCGACGTCTTGCACTCGAAGTGAAACCCTGTTACTCAGAAGTACGATTTGTTACGTTGTCGGTGTTTTGGGATCAAAACGCGGTTTCCGCGCTAAGAAGTCCGACTTGTTCTGGGCATCTTGGGCTTGAGCTGCGGCTGCAGTTTGCTGCCGCTCAAATGAGCGGTGCTACGATGTACGATTTGTTGCCAGCATTTTGGGCTCAAAGAGGGACCCCGGCGCCAAGAAGTACGATTTGTTGCCAGCGTCTTGTGCTCAAAACGAATCCCGGTGCTACGTACGATGTGTTGCCGGCATCTTGGGCTTAACGTGATGCCCCGCTGCTAAGAAGTACGATTTGTTGCCGACGCGTTGGGCTCAAAGTAAAGCCCCGCTGCTAAGACATACCATGTATTGCCGGCATCTTAAAGTGAGGCCTCCCGGTGCTAACAAGTGTGATTTGTTGCCGATTTTGCTACCGCGCGAACCTGCGTTTGAATCATTTCCCGCGGCTTGACAGCAAGCCTAAACTCTCTCTTCAAGGCCTGCAAACTGCATCTGGCCTGGGTTTTTTTTCGCACGTCTGATGTCTGATCGGATGTCCGATGACGCTGCGCCCGGAAATGCCTTAAATAGCTTGCCGCGCGACTCCGAAGCCTCCCATGAACTGCTCAGACTGAGCCCCCGGAGCTCCGACCAAGCCCGAATGCATTTTCCGAGGCCCGCGAAATGCATTCGGCCCTGGTTTCAGCCAATCTGGTGTTCATTGTCGGGGCATGAACAGCACATCTGCAGCTCTTCAGCTTTTCTGGTGTCCAATAACGTTGATCCCAACGACAGCCATTCTGCGGTTGAGCATGGTGAACTATTAACTGCTCCGAGCAGCTGCTAAGATTCTCTGCAGAGGGGTTCGCGAGCCCCGCACAGGGGCGACCGTTGCAAGTCGATGATCGGCTACCCTAAAACTCTGCCGAGGCCACGGGATGCCGTCTCGAAGGAACCTTGGCAGAGAGAAAGACGTGCGGTTTAGCGTGCCTTAAACACGGCTTTCAAATGCCTTTCAGCGACCTGAAACATGTGCACTCTGTCCTTTTTGCCTTCGGGGCTTGATATGGCTTACCCCTCCCCCCCCATGACCCTCATGAGGTCCAGAAGCCCTAAGAGTCAAAGAGTTAAGGTTTTCTGCCTGTGCTGTGTCTTTGCCAGGGCCGAAGCTCCTCGCCTGGGTGCCGCTCGGATTGGCTTTGCAACCCGCGCCCGCTCCTGGCCACGCGCCTCGGCTTTCACTTGCGGCTACGCCTTTTCAGGGTTCAGAAGGGCCAAGGAGTAAAGTTCGGACGTGTGCGCTGACGTTGGTTTTCATCTCGCCACGTTAGGAGTTGGCAAAGGCTGATGACTGCTACACAGATGCGCAATCTACTGTCCAACATAGTCCCAAGCTTGGATGAGGACATTCTCGCCTGACCATGTCTTCCTGACTTTATTGCATAGACATCCCTTCCACGCATGCAACTCTCCAGCCCTCAAGCCGCCTGGAGGGCCTTATAGCTTCCCAGCCTTTCTGATCAGGGCCCACACCTCCAACAATCCAGCCCTCCTCCAGCCCTCAAACCGACAGAGGAGGTCGCGGTGTCTGCGTCATCTGTTTCAACATATCCAGGTGTGTGAAAGCCAGTTTAAGCAGTGTCAGCCTAGGTTTTAGGCGTACCGGACTCAGCAAAGGGGCGGGTCAGGTTTAGGTTGGGGAGGGCACCACAAGAGCAGGTGCCAGAACGAGCCGTTCAAAGCAGACATGTTCAGGCAAGAAGCTAAGCCATCTCCAGGGAACCGCCCCTATATCCCCTATGCCCCTCAGCCCTGGAACCATCATCAATCGCACAAACAGCGTTCTGCAGGGGCGAGCGGGTCCGGTCCGGGAGCAGGGCCCAGATCTTCGAGGACAGTGGTTTCAGGTTTCCATTTTTAGGGGGCTTAGGGATGGCTGCGGTAGCTTGTAGCAGGCTTGGATAGGGGAAGTGCAGCTCAGGGCTGCAAATTTGTGTTTCACGTGTTTGCAGCAACTCACTGAGCTATATGGTCATGTATTACTAGAGCTCAAGTTGTCGCTGCCAGCCCTGCAGGAAGACCTGCGGGACCGTGGCAGATCATCGGACCGCAGTTGATGCTCGCTTTGTTGTGGTTTGGGCCGTCGGTTTGTTTGTTCTGCACGCGGTGTGAAAGCAGGCAAGGACCTGGCAAGCAGAGTTGTCAATAGTGAGGCGAATCTGACATAAGAGGAGAACGCAGTGAAGTATGTTGAACCCCTGCAGGAACGCTATGAGGATGACTAGGCTGCCAGGGTCCCAGATTCACAGGAAGAGGCACATTCAGCCGTGGCCGTACAAGATTTGCACAAAAACCTTGATCAAAAGAGTGAACTGGTTAACCTTCCGTCCCGAGACCCTTGTCGCTTCGCCCTTGTCCTGACGTACCCTAATGTCTTCACAGGTATTTCGGCTGCGCAGATGGCTGCGATCACGAAGAAGGCGGCCGAGTACGATACTAGCAGTATCATGTACTAAAGGACCAGAAGAAATCTGGAAGAGGCCGGGGAACACTTACGATCTCGGCATGAGATGCTCTGCGTTGATTGTTGGATCTTGCATGAACCCTGCATGCTACGCACAGCGCTACGCACTCATAGCCCGTCGCATGAGCATCAGGGGTGGTATCGGTGTGTGAGCTCGCGTTGGGGGATTCAAGCTTAGAGGTTCGGGGATTCTCAAGGCCTACCTCGCCGGCAGAATTTTTCTTGACGGAATGAGGGAGCCACATCAACCCAAGCTATCAACCCTATCGAACCCTCTTCTCATCGCCCTCGGAAAGGGTCCTCACAAGGGTCATCCTTGCACCAAGGCCATGCGTTCCTCCGATCCGATAGACATTGTGTACTTTCTAGGACCCCGAAGGATGCAAACCCAAAATTTTGCGTAAACCACAATTCTAGGGGGGCAAACCTAGATCCTCCTGGATACCCTCGATCCTAAGACCCGAACTCCGAGCCTTCAAGTGGGACCTATGAATAGGGAGGGTAGCAACGCTGCCCTAAGCCCTAATTAAGCCCCAACTTTCCGAGTGTGGGGCTTAGGGTTCACGATGTACCAAGGGTTCGGGGATGTGGATAGAAGTAGCGGATGTTTTGAACGGCCGTCATCTTGAGAGAACTATACTCCGAGGAGCATGTTTCCTATCATAGCCTATAGCCTTTAGAAAAAGACCTTTGTAGCATCTATAGTTGCGCTAGAAAATTCTGGATCCCCCACAAGCATACTCCCGGAAACTACTGCTAACATAGAAACCGGAGGGTCCTGCAATGATTACACTCATTTTCAGAATAGATTTAGGCTTGGGATTTAGAGCTTAGGTTCCACGCAGTGCCCCAAGAAACGTAGCTGTTGCACTTTGTTGCATTTATCGTGAAAAACATTGGCCTTCTAGTCCCTGAACCCCAAGCCGTGAATCCGAGAACAGCTACCTAGCTCACCTAAAACTGCCCAGACGCCGAGTTTTTGCAGGTGGTGCGCGTGTTCCGCGAGTGGGACCAAGACCGTGACGGGCGCCTCAAGCTGGAGGACATGTGCACAATCCTCTTCAATCTGGGTGGCACGGATGCGATAGTGGGATTCGTGCTTGAACTGCGAAATGCATCAGCGTAGTCATGCTCATGCTACATCCACAGCCCCGAAGAAGGTCAGGTGTTCGGAGCTTCTGTTGACTGCCACTTTTCCCGATGACTTTGCTCCAAGGGTGGTGGGTTTTTTGCATTCCACGCCATGACATTGACCCAGTCCAAGTCCATGTAGCCGATGTAGCCGCTCCAGGTCTTTTAGGATTCAGGCTTGAAGACTGAGGTTTCACCCCTGAAGATGCGGCAAAGCTCTTCGCACAAGCCGATGTGAACGCAGATGGACTGCTTGACTATGCTGAGTTCGCGCAGTGGCTGTATGATGTCTCACCCGCAGAATTTCGAGAGCAGATTCTGCGAGACTCCAGATAAAGTGTAGAGTTCAGGGCAGATCGTGTTCGCTCGAGCTGATGATTATTTGATGTGGTTTGCTGGATTTTGCCAGCCTCACACCTCTTACAGCCCACCTCCCACTCGACATGATGGCACATTGGTTGCGATTGCCAAGCGACACACTCCTGCTGTAATGCTTTCCGGACAGAATCGGACAGAATGCTACTGGACCAGCAGCTGTTGAGCAGCACTGAACATGTAGACAAGAACGCAGCATACCTAGTCCATGCAGATTCTACAGCAACCCAGGAGGCGGGCACGCAGCTCAAAAAACATCAAGCCTTGTAGCTGCAAAGAACCGTATGACCTGAAGCCGCATTCCCCTCCTAAAGCCCAGAACTCTGCAGCCTCACAATTCAAATAGCCATAAGTGACACACCCCTACACCCAAGCCGAACCCCTAAACCCTATAAGCACATGTAGCCTACTGGTCTCGGAGTCAGTTGGCAACTCACCCCGGGGCCCATTAAAGCCAACTCTGCGTTGTCCAGCCGCGAGTTCAAGGCTCATTGGAGCTCCGCTCTTAGGACTGCTGCATTTCTATGCTGTGGTTTTCATGACTAAGGGCTGCAACACGACCGCGTAGCCAGCAAGTTCATTACCCAAGCTCCGAGTTCGGATGTGCGGATTTAGGCGCTAGTGTGATCTGAGGTGCCGCCTTGGTCCATGTTCTTTCTCATGGAGCTGGAGACATATCTCCTGGAAGCTTGGACAGCGCTAGACCCCGACAGGAGATACAGAAGCCTTTCAGCACGAAGCCCTCAGATCAAAGCGTCACAGACGAGCTGGAGAGCCTGAGGTGAAACCAGAGCATTGTGGCCCCGGCTACCACGAATATATCTTCGACCAGCTGCGCCAGAAGGCATAGAAGGGTACTAGTTGTTCTTGTGAGGGAGAACGGGAGGGGGAGGATCTTCGGCTGAAGGCTACTGGGTTTTGGGTTTTTGGTTCAATGGATTGCGGCTTCAAGGGGCTGGGGCTTAAGAGTGTCCAGGCATTGAAAAGTGGCTTGGGCTCCGGAGGAATTCAACAGTCGGGGGAAGTTCCCCTAGGAGCCTCAGCCCTTGTGACTTTGTGATGACGAAAGGTTGAAGGTACTGTTCAAGAGAAAGCCGGGCTCGTCATTGGCGTCAAGGAGATTGAGTGGCGGCCTCAGATGTTGGAGGTTTGCGACGCCAAGGCGATTTCCACTTTAGCGCGCTATAGGGGGGTTTAGGGCTTGGGGATGGATCGTTGGGAAATCAGCATGCCAATGTTGCCATCCCCGACAAGGAGGGATGCACATACGCTTGCGAGCAGCCATAGGCACGGAATCGCGGATGTTCAGCCACGCAGAAGTTTCCTCTTCGCACGAATTGTGCTACAGTGCCACATTTCTTCTCTCTCATCAACAGTCAACCTTTTTCTCCACCACCAGAATGACACAGTTGCTACTACAATACTCGATGTCTGACTTGCTGAGGACGACCGATAAAGGAAAGCTGCACGAAGGCACAGCTGCACTGCATCCCAATTCTTGGGTCTTTTGGCCCTTAAATTAAACCCTGAACCATAAAATGAGGTTGGGCTTCCGACTGACCCCCTTGGTGTGGGCGGACTGAAGCCAGGCATCGTAGAAGAATTCTAATGAGTGCAGCGAACATCTTTGCATCGCGCAAAGTTCGCCGCTGCCGTCTCTGCTTCTGGGCATAGACTCTCTAGCCGTGCTTTTTGTTGGTTTTGGCACTTATTTCTTAAACCCGAAGCCCTCATGGTGAATGTCTGCCCACATCTCAAGACTCAACGCGAAAGACTCTGAGTTACTTTGAAGGGAAAATCCTGACGATGACAAGCTTGGGCTTGAAGTGGTTTTCAGGTAAGGGATGGGTAGGATCGGCCAGGGTGTGCTTGCAGGCGGCCTCCCCGGCCCGAAGGCTTGAAGAACTATTCCCACATCCCCGCCCCCCAATTTCCGGCTACAAGTAAGTGGAAGCCCAAAGCAGGCTTGGTTGGAGCAGTTTATAGATAACGGCACCCTGAGGTAGGGGCAGACGTGCACACCGACACATGAAAAACACGGCACTAGCTGACCTCTTACGCCATCGACGTCGAACCCTCGCACTTGGGTAGCCCAGCCGATTGCAAGATCAGCAGGACAGCTCGCACGTTACTTTGCCAGGAACTGGCATGATCATGGTGCCCATGAGATACAACGCCCTCGTGCTTCAGCTCTTCAAGAATGAGGCACGTATTTGCCGAACGTTGAAGAACCACAAAACATGGACAGGAAATAGCACACACAAGAAGAGTCTGCACAACGCACAAGCAGCCCAGTATATATCAGGAAGCAGCATAGAATTATCATCCTAATGGATGTGAGCAGCGAGGTTGCATCGGACAGTTGGGTAAGGAGTTCGAACAGCTGACCCCGCAAGAATCCCGCCCTGGAGCGTGCAAGAGTGCCTAGTAGGTACAATGTGTTGGCACAAACTGAAGCACCTCGTTCCCCCTCCCCCCCCCCAACACCCGGGCGACGACGAAGGCTCCCGGCCCAAGACCAACCCATTTCTGTGGGGCATGTGTGTGTGTGAGCATGCCAAAGGGCTTGCCATCAATTCGCGTAAAATTGAGGGACTCCATGGCCGTCACCTGTTTCTTGTCGCTGCTAGCTGTGAGCAGTAAGCCAAGCCAAAGAGTGAACTCTGGGTCTCTAGGCTTGCTTTCGCCTACTAAACATACCATCAGGGAATCAACCGCTTCCGACGAAGCGCCTTGATTGATAGCATCAGACTTCCTACTACGCTGCATGGTGAAAAGTGGTCTTCGTTTTCAGACTAGCTGCAAACCGAGCCCCAAATAAAAGGACGATTAATATCTCGATACATGTCTCAAGCAGGCTGTAAGGGATTCGGATTGAGGCAGAAGCGGATAACCCCAAGTTGGAGGGTTTACGCTATGTTTACGCTTATCATCCACAAAGTAGGGGACTTCAGAGTCATCTGCTACGCAACGATCATTGTTCACTCAATCCGTGAAGATGCTTCTGCACTCCTCAGCGAACCGAAAATCCGGGACCTTCCCTGACCCACCACAACCTAGTGCAACTGCTGCATCACCGGCAACTTGGGCCCCCCAAGGTCTTCCATTCAGGTGAGGGTTTTGCCACGTTTGAGGTGCAGGCTTCGGTGGCTTTAGGTAGCTTCGGTGGCTCTTGACCTGCTCCTTGGAAGGTTGTAGATGCAGAAGTCACGGAGCTCAACAAGCTCGGGTTCTTCTGCGAGGCTCTGCAGGGCC